TGTTTTTTTAGACATAATGCTATTGCACACTTAATAGACTACAGTATAGTGTAAACATAACTTTTATATGCACTGGGAAACCAAAAAATTCGTGTGACTCGCTTTATTGCGATATTCGCTTTATTGCGGTGGTCTGGAACTGAACCTGCAATATCTCCGAGGTATGCCTGTATATGAAGAAAAAGGACTGCAAGACATATAGTTAATGAAAGACTTGTTATATTTTATAAAGTTAGATCCATTTTTGATTCACAAAATGCAGATATCAATTTTTTTCAAAAGAAAAATTACAAAGCTGGTGTCTCCTGGCAGCTTCATCTGACACCTTTGTTATGCTAGCTATTGTGATGCTCGGTTCCTTAAACTTTGTTGTTCGAAGATGTATACTCTCACTTCTTCACCAGGTGAGTCCTATAATGAATAATTAAAAGGATTCCAGCTGCTCTGGAGGCCTGGCAATAATATAGTAATGCCACATTCCCTTTTTCACCCACATGAATTGCCTGAAGCCACAGCTGTACTTGGAGTGAATGACCACAAACCATTCTCTTTTTCTGCTTTTAAGAACACAAAGATCTTTCTCATCTTCCGTTTCTATTGCCATTGCAATCCTAGTGATCTTGGACAGCCTTCCCTCTCATCATTAAACTTCCTGGCTCCATATAAATCAACAGTCCCCCTTTAAGAGAACTAACTGGTTAGATATTTTAAGAGGGGTGACTGAGGCAGCTACTGGTAATTGTAGGTCTTGTAGAAGTAGGCTTTCAGAAGGGATGTAAGAGAAGAGGGATAGTATTCATAAGAGCTAGCTCAAGAACATTATTTCATGCATATGGAATAGTGTGGAAGAAAGTGCAAGGCCAGCTGTGGAGAAGTAGATAAAATGGATATTGAAACTAGCATTATAAGTGAAGGAAGTGAGACGGGACAGGTAGGTGGTGACTATTTTCACAGCTCCTTGGAGTATTTTATTCTTTCCTCTCGACACAGCACCATAGATGGATTGACACTTCTGCTCCTGGCTGGATCGCGTGAATCGGAAAAAGGAAATATCTGGATTTCTTCAAAGCTTAATCAGTTAGTCTCTAAGGGCACCTATATACGTGCCGGAAGTCTGCTCCAATGCATGCTAGTTAGCATGCGATTGATGAACATTATGTGGAGGTTGCTGGAGCATGCTAATTAGCACACTCCAGCAGCCTCCACATCTGTGTATTCAATGTCCCTGCACTTAAAAATGGTGACAAGGGACACTTTAACTAAAACTCGTTGAACAAGCTTTAGTTAAAGCGCACCTGCTGCCATTTTGAAGCAGGGGACGCTGAATACATGAGATGCTACGGACAGTTTAATTGGAGCGACTCTTGGAGCCGCTCTAATTAAAGCACCTCCACCCCAAAACACAAAATGCCCTATAAAAATGCCCTGAGGCATGTCACCCTGCCCTGCCTTCTGCCTTCAAACCCTAGAGAGATTTTGTTACCTTTAATTAAAAAACAAATTCTCAACAGATTTATAGTCAGAGTCAAACAGAACTGATAATAAATGATATTAGGAGATTTCACATATTGCTTTGCAAATTATTGATGAATGCTAAATTAAAATGGAGTGACGTTCACCTGCTAATGAACATTTCTTTTGGGTGTATGGTTATTCACATGAGAAGCCTTGCTTAATGAGTGAACACTTTAATTTTTTTCCCCCCAGAGCTCCCTTGTTCAGTGTTCAGTTAACTGTGTCTTGATTTTTATGATGTGACTTGCTTATGGCTTAAACAAGTATTTTAAT